TGAGACAGAATCCACTAATCTAATTTTGCGATTTTTTTTTTTCAGTTTTACACTCAGATTCATTCACATGAGGAAAAGCAGTTAATACCTATGGAAAAAGGTTAAAAAAAAAAAAACATGGTTGTCAGACTAACTGCTTTTTAACAAAGGCTGAGTTCAAAATTTACTAATGAAGGCCTAATTTTGTATGACCTGAGAGAAAGTTTCAGAGCTAAAGAGCATTTCTAGGCTTAGAAACTGAAATTGACATTTATATAGTAAGATATCTCAGAGAAAATTACATATATGCAAACACAAGGCTGACATATTATTGTGTTGACAAACAAGTCATTTCTAAAACAGCTTAACTCTGATTTCTGAAGCAATAAGAAAATAGAGAGAGAGAGAGACAACAGACAGCAAGTTATTTACCTTTATGGGAACCGATTTTGAGTACATGCTAGTTAAATCTTCCCAAAGAACTTCTCGCCTGAGATCAGCTACATAGGACAGAATGAGAGAGACAGGCCTTCCAATCAGGTGTTTCCCAGCAAAGGAAGTTAGGGCGACTCCATCCTGCCTTCTCCTCGGTAGCCTCTTGGATCACGCTTTCTGGCACTAGGTTTAAAGCATCTTTGGAATGCTAAGGTGCTCACATCTAGCCCCTTCCTACTTCCTTCTTTCTTTTACTTCATTTTCTTTCCTGTGTTCTTTGAATATGCATCTGTCTCCCCATTAGATTGCAATCATATTTGAAGGCAGAGTCCCTGTCTTACTCATCTTTGTACCTCCTTTATTTAACCCTCATCAGATGCTATTTTAGTCATATATAATACTTTTCTGTTAAATAAAAATAATTATAGCTAGACACAAATACAAATTCTCCCATGTTTTATAACTGCTACTGAGAAAATGATGGGAGATGGAGGTTGTTGCAGTAGATTACTGAAGCGATCTACTTTCCTGTTTTTAACAGAATGAGTCATATGTGAGCATATTTATACTGAAGTGCAAATAAAAGTTGCTTTCAAGCATTTTGATGTTGTGTCGCTGAAAGAAGCAATCTTCTTAGTGATGTATATAGACCAAGATGAATCTAGAAAAGGCCTATATAAGGAGAATCGCTGTAGTGGTAACTATCAATACCTTTGAGTTTCCATATCTTTATAAGTAAGCTGAATAAAATGTTCTTTATCTTTATAGCTGTTGTTAATGAGTTATAAGGGGAGGAAAAAAATGCTTGTGAAAGATGCCCTCGTGTAACATCATATGACATTTTTTCTTTCTTTTTTTCCTCTTTCATTATTTTATTTATTTATTTTCTTTTTTCTTTTTTTGGAGCAGTTTTTGTTATAGGGCGTGTGCGCTCCCTAGAAAGACAGAGAGACAGAAAGCGAGAAATCACCCCCAGAGGGGATGGCCACGCTGCAGTCCCTTCTCCTCCATTCTCCTCCTGAGATCTTGGGCACACATACACATGCGCCCCACTGTGAGTTTAAGCCACCGAGTCCGGCACTGGAACCGCGGTTGACTACATGGGAGTCCAGCGACACAGCCATTACACCAACTGCTAGTCCCCCTCTTTCATTATTTTAACTGATAGTGTTTGCATGCTTATGCACCTTAACTTTTTCCTTTGGGTTTTTCATGTTAGCTTATAAGGAGATGCTTCTTTTCAGGGTTGTATGAGTATGTGTCAGTTAATGGGACTGTTAGTTTAGACTCACCCTTCAGACTCTGCAGACCACATGGCCAGCTCTCTGTTAGGTTTGCTAAGAGAGGACACCAGAGAGAGATTTCTCCAGCTCTTCTTTTTCTTTTTTTTTTTTTGGCATGCCCTGGAGCAACCTCATTTTGTCCTCTTAGAGGCACCCACAGCTGAGAGTGACCCATTCTCAGTGGTCTGAAGAACTTCATAAAGCCTCTTCTGCACACCTGTGCATTCTAGTAACCTCAACATTTTCTCTTGTTCTCTCAGTCTAAGGGCCTATGCTACTTCCTGGAGATATTATCCTTTCTTTCTCCTTTTAGCTTTTAAAAATTCCCCAGAAGTTAATCCATATAATTAACCCATAGCTTATATGACTTCCTCTTTGTCAAAATGCGTAGTGTAGTTTCTGTTTTGCTGGCTGGACTCTAACAGATATGGTGATACCTGAATGAGGTCCAACCCACTGGTCTACTGGGTTAGAAAGCCCAAAGGGGGAGAGCAGCCTGCAGTGCCCTTTAGACTCACTGCAGAGCCTGTCCTTGCTCTGGGCCTTTATAAACCGTAACATATTTAACTAGTCCCCTCTAGATGGATTGTTAGGCTGTTTCCAACATTTTGTTACTATAAATGATGCATTAATTGACCTTAAATGGATTATATTTTTCATATGTGCATGAGTCCACCAGTAAGATAAATTCAAAAAAGAGAAATTGCTCCGTCAAAAGGATTGCCAAACTGCCCTGTGTAGAAGTTGTACTAATTTACATTCTCAAAGGCAAGTGATAGAAATCTATTTGTATGAGAAATGGAGAAATCAGAAGGGAAGAGGGAGCCAGGTATGAAAACTTGTCCCAGTAAAAGGGCTTTAGCTAGAGTAGCACAGCGTATCTATGGTATGAGGAATCACTTTCAATCCTAGATTCCATGGACTTCACTTTGAGCCCGTTGGAGATAAAGAAGGCTGAAACCAAATTTTGAAAAGCTTTCAAAGACACTTTGAAAAGATAATGTAAAAGGGGATAACACAAAGAGGGGAGTGGCATCTTGCTACAGATTACCACCAGGAATGAGAAGTTGGAGGAAGAGCCATGTCCAGTGGACGCTCAGTCCCAAGCTAAAGCGGCAGTGGTAGCCAGCAGCAAGAGTGACACCTACAGATGAACCTACAGATAGCTACTGGGACAAGTGGCAGCGCTGCAGGACAGGATGTAATAATAACTGCAAGCTCGCATTAGACACTTCCTAGGGATTCCCAGATACACTTGTGTGGTCCTTTGTAGGGTACTGGATCTGTTTTCTGTAGGAGCAGAGAAGGTAAAAGCTGATGAAACAAGCTACAAAACTCATTTTCTGTGGCCGTCCTTTTTTTCTCTTCTACATCTTTGCTCATAAACTGGGGTAGGTTTTTGCTTAACAATAACAATGTAAAACATTCTACTTCCTGAGTCCTTATCATACATCTCTAGCAAACCTAGGATGTGACTAAGTTATTTTTACCATCTGCTGCTGCTTTTTCCTGTCATTTACTCCCTGCTTCAGAGTTCTACAATAGTTACCCTTGCCCTTGTGTAGTAGACTGGCTGCACTCCACCTCACTTTTGCTTTCATCACGTGGTAACCAAGCTTTAGGTACAACAGAGTTGTAGCTTTCCTGTACTGTATGAGCTGGGCCACCTTCCTGCAGGGGACTTTTGTCTTATGTTCCACTGTTTCTTAGTTGTGCCATTCTTAATTTCCACGAAAGAGATGCTGTCATCACCAATTACCATTAATCAAGGGCCCCCTGGATTCATGACTGCATAGGGACTAATTTGATATTCTCTTTGTTTCAGATTTCAGGTGGCTCCTTCAAATGAATTTTTAAGCATCTCAGTAATGAAGAACAGAGACATAATCAATTAGGTTTCAGAAAAACAAGCCTTTGCAGAAAATGCTTGAAGGAGAATATCAAGGATTCATGTTAATATTTGAAAGCTTAAAAGAGGCGTGCTTTTATTTAGTCAATAAATGACAGAAATAAAAGGCACTGTATTCGTTATTCCTGGAAGAAACCTGGCAGCATTCCATTCAGAAATCTGTCCTTTGATGGTCCAATTTTCCTCTTTACTTATTGTAGTCCTTCTAGTCTTAAGGCGAAGTCTGAGTATTTTCTACTGACACTTTTTTTCTAATCATCTCTGCCCTTAGGGATGACTCTACTCCAAACACCTGTAACCCTTTTCATATTTACCTCTCATTTGGAAATTCAGTACATGATACATTTTATTATTGAATACATATATGCACATTTTTTCCCATTTCCCCCCAGTATTAGGGAATTGTCTGGATAATTTAGTTCTTTTCCAGTCCTTAAGAGTTGGCATGGTGTTTGTCAAAGAATATTTATTGATAATGATAGTAAGTCTATAAACACCAGATAGAAATTTTAAAGAATTATTTATTTAATATTATCTGGCATTATTATCACTTTTAAATTTGACCAGAAAAAGACAGAGACAGATCGAGAGAGAAGCAAGCTGCCAGGTCCAGGACTTGAACCACAGTGGACCATGTGGGAGTCCAGCAACTTCACCACCACGCTACCTACCTGCCCCCCAAATCAGAATTTTATTTAGGAAAAAAAAAAAAGCGGTAGGGGAGACAAGGTTAAAGGTTGGGAATTCAAGACCCACAAACATCTTTGATAAATGTTTTCTAATCTCAGCGTTGCATGTACATCTTTTGGGAGGGGTAGGTATACATTGAGGGAGGAAGAGAGCAGTTTCAATAAAATTTGTTTTAATCTGTCTAAGCAATAGGTATGTTTTTTGCCTATTCGTTTTGATGAGACAATAAATAGCATGATGAGGGTGTTGCTTTTAGAAACTGATATTTAGACGAATAGACCTGAACGCTTTCCTTTCAGAAAACAAAACAAAACGTTCAGTTCTGTCATATATTCTGGAATGGAGAACACATGTTTTACAATGCCAAGAACCTAAGCCCAGCCAGGAGAGTTACACGCGAAACGCCCCCTGCACCCCAGACCCATTGTCCCCCAGGAGCCAAAGATCCAGAATCCTCCCTTCCAGGACGAAGCTCCCGCTGGGCACCGCCCACCCCGGCTCCGGGCGTCTCATTGGCCCGTCTTCCGTCCCTCATCTCCACTACCCCAGTAGATTTGGCTCGGGAGGAGGGCGGCCCCCTTTTGGGCACTCATTGGTCAGAATCGTAAGGACGGTAAGGGACTGTGCGAGTTTCTATTGGTCCATAGGCTTCATAATGGGCAGGGAAAGGTAGAGCGACAGGGTTCAGGGCGGGAAGTGCCGAGTGCGCCGGCGCGTAGTCGGGGACGCCGGGCTGAGCTTTTGCTAGGGAACCAACTGTTGCCGCCCCGCCCCCTCGAGGGTGTTTGTGGTGTTAACTGTCGCAGTGGCAGGGGCTACAGCGCCGGGCGACATGCCGGTGCGCTTCAATGTGAGGCCGGGATCCCCGGGCCCGAAGGCGGCTTTGAGGCGCCGCGGCGGGGTGGGTGCAGGGCGCGGGGCGCGGGAGCCTACCCAGCTTCCCAGGTCGCGCCCCGCGGCCCGGTGGAGGCTGCCAGCCTCGGAGCCTCTCGGCCGAGGTGCCGGATCGCGTCTCCGCTCTCACGCTTACCAGTTGCGTTGCCGTGTGTGAAGGGAAAGATGGGATCGAGATGGGTTTATTTGGGAGGACTCCTGAATGGAGAAGAGAGGAGGGCACTATAGCGAGAACTAAGGGCGGCTAAGTTGCAGGTTGGGACCTCCAGTGAGTGACTGGTTGAGAGTGCCCGCGTCACAGTTTAGCATTTAATCCAACTTCCCTTTAAAGCTGTATAGTGCAGGGTCCTTTCCAAAGACAGAATATGACTTCTACGTGTTCTTCATATTTGCGCATTTGTCTTAGGGTTTGAGAAAGGTTCAGTGGCTAGTAGCTGTTGGGGACTAGCACTCTGCAACATAGCAAGTCACCACGTTTCACAAGTCCCGACCGTCTCCTTTTGTCTACTAGGCATATACGTAGTATTGTGTACTCCGAGTTTAGGATAAACCCACACTGAGTAAGAATTTGGTTGTTCCCTGTTATCAAGATGAGAGCTCATGGCTTGCAGTCAAACAGCCAGCAAGAGGTAGCTTCCTTAGATTCCGGCTAGCTTCTGCTTCAAGTGGTCATTGGGATTAAATGACCTATCACGTCAACTGCTTAACCCAGGGCTGGGTAAATATTAGCCATTCTTAAGGAGATCTTCTATATTTAATTATCAGTCTTAAATCCTTCAGTTCTCTTTGGAGGTTTAGTAATTTTACCAATATCTGTTGTAAAATAGTATTCATTAATTGCACTGTAGCACTGTACTCAAAACTGCGTTTTACATTACAGGGACTGAGTGAATACCAGAGAAACTTTCTGTGGGAAAAATCGTATTTGTCAGCATCCTGTAATTCTGCAGTGGGGCGAAGATACCCGTGGGCTGGACTTAGATCAGATCAGTTAGGTAAGTTAAATAAACTAATAGCTGATATTACTTGAGTAAACCTTGGAGAGTCTGCAAAATGGTTTATTCACAAGTAAGTTGGCCTGGTTGTCTTGTTTATTTAACAGATACTTATTGAGGGCTTACTGTGGGCTAGGCCTGTTTCCAACTGTTAGTTATTTGGCCCTGAACCACATAAAATCTCCAAAGTGTGGAGAGAAATAGTAAATAACTCAATAAACAAGGGGATTTCAGGTTGTTATATCAAAACATAAAATAGTGTGATAGACTTCAGGGAGGAGTGGTTTGGAGGGAATACACTTTAGATTTGGTGATGAGGAAAGGCTCTCTTGAGAAATTGGTATTTGAGCTGAGACCTGTACACTGAGAGAGGACAAACCTGGAGAAGAGTGTGGCCAAGACCTTGAGAAATGGAGCTAGTGTAAGTAATAATCCCTTCTCCATTTTCCTCCTGGGATCTTGGGCACACACACACATGTGCCTGGTGTGAGTTTCAAGCCACTGGATCTGGGACTTGAACCATAACTGACCACGTGGGAGTTCAGCAACATAACTGCTATGCTATCTGTTGGTCCCAGCTCTACATTTTTTTAATGTAGTGTATATGTTCCTCCTGGGGATTCGTTGGTTCTGGGAGACAGGGCAGACTAAGAATCTTCCTCTTTCATTTTGTTCTGTCAAAAACATGGTTCTATGTTAAGCAGAGAAATATGAGGTAGTGGTCTTCAAACTTCTTTGATTTCATACTTCCTAAGGTAATTTAGAAAATTTTTATACCTCGTCACACATTAAAATTCTTTTTTTTTGAGAGATTTTTGCTATAGGGCATGTGTGCTCACTGGAGAGACAGAGACAGAGAGACAGAAAGCGAGAAATCACTCCCCAGGGAGGATGGCCATGCCACAATCCCTTCTTTATTCTCTTCTTGGGATTTTGGGCATGCATGCACACACGCCCAGTGTGTTTTAAGCTGCTGGGTTTGGGATTAAAACTGTAGTTGACTACATGGGAGACCAGCAATGTAACCATTACACCATCTGCTGGTCCCTTAAAATAATTTTTTTAATTGCTATAGGTATATGCACTCATGAGAGAGAGGGAGAGACAGAAAGAACACCCCCTAGTGGAGTGGGGGTCACACCACGATCTAATCCCTTCTCCATTTCTCTATTTTGTTGGGATTTGGGGGTGCCTACACACACACATGCACACACACACATGCACAAGCCCACTCAGCATGTTGTTCAAAGGAACTAGGATTCAAAACCAATCAGCCATATGGGATCTGGTTCCTTAACCACTAGGTTATGGGGCTGGCCCACACATTTCTAAATTGATATTTAATTTATTTTAAAATAATTATTTTATTTAACTTTATTTATTTAAATTTGACCAGAGAGGGGGCAGAATGAGCAAGAGAGAGAGAGAGAGAGAGAGAGAAAGAACGAAAGCCACCAGTTCCAGAACTCGAACTGTGTTTGGTCATGTGGGAGTCCAGCCCCCTTAACCACCACATCACCTGCTGATCCCAGTGTTATTAATTTTTTAATTATAATTTCTACAAATAGTTTAGAAGGATGTAATTTCTGGTATATTGGGTATTGTATATATGTTTTACATATATTTTATTTAAACCTTGGAGCTTCCAATTTAACTCATTCAATTTACGGAAAACGTTTGTTGTGTAACTGGCAAAGTTAGTCCTTACTCAAACTAACCAGCCAAATTAAGAGTTATTTTCTGAAAAGAAAAAAGTCTGACTTTATCTTTCTGTTAAGATAAATGTGTTACTACACATACATGCATTTTACATGACAGCCTTCTCACACCTGAATTTTAATTCCAGAGTCGGTGGATGGCAAAGGTGTGGCACTGTCTGCGATAAGACACTGTGCCTTTGTTATGCCTGATCCTTACCTTTGCCTTCCTGGCAGATGTTTTCCCCTGGGAATTACGGTTTCTTCAATTGTCCCTTTATTTGTTCCCCTCACCCCTGAGATTTGGTATACCTTAGGGTAATGTGCCATATTGCGTTTCAGGCTGATTGAGAGGTGTGTTTTTCTTTTGTAAATTGGGAGAAGGGTAATTGTGGAGGAACAGTGGGAAATGGAAATGCAGATGGCAGATGTCCGTCAGCGTCAGACAAGAGCACATATGTAGTTGAGGATCTGGAGAATGATCCCCTTAAGCTGCTCATTTCTGTTTAGCCTCCTTCCTGCCCCCACCCCACCTGGAACATCTTTTTGTACCCCTAGTAGTAAGGCACCCAGTTAAAGACCCTCTGGGGAGGCCTTGTCAGGGTGAGGGCCCTGGGTTCCATGGCCAGAACATCCATAATAGAGGCCGAGGAGCTCTGGGTTTTTGCTCATGCCTGATTTTCTCTCTACTCTTTTCTTCCCCTTCCTTCTGTTCTATTCCTGATCCTCTTCTCTATCCTGCAACAGACTTTATGTAGTGAATGGCCTCAAACGAGGGCAGTATCTTCAAGGCTGTCACTCTGCAGAGCTCTTCTTACCTCAGGAGAAGGTTAAGGTTCTGGGCATTTGCTAGCCACACAGAAAAACAGAGAAATTGTATCTTAGCTTTTGTTAAAAGGGTTCATTCTTTTTAATTCTCAGGAAATCAAGGCAAATGTAGAACCAAGATCCAGCATAATGACATCTCATCTTGGTCTGCTCTGCATAAGAGGAGCTTTGTGAAAAGTTCCAAATTTTGACAGTACCAGGGCCCATTGTTCTGTTAAGTAGCACAGGAAAGTAACTAGAAACGGAGGCAGCATGTACTGTTCGGCTTGCCAGGTCTCTTGTGATTCTAGTGAGTTGTGTTAGGGGATGTTGAACATTGTGACCCCAATTTAAAATTTTTTGTTATGATAAAACTTTAAATACTTCTTTAATACAAAATTAAATATTTTATGTTCAAAACTGTTCTTTTAAAATTCTGTAATCTGAAGGACATTGTGGGAACCAGCAGATGTGATGGCTATATTGCTGGAGTCCACATAATTGACCGTAGTTTGAGTCCTGGTCCTGGAGGCTTAAAACTCATGCTGGGTATGTGTGTGTGTATGCGTGTGTGTGCATGCGTGTGTGCCCAAAATCCCAAGAGGAGAATGGAGGAGAAGGATTGTGGCATGGCCTTCCCCCCGAGGGGTGATTTCTTTCTTTCTCTCTCTCTCTCTTTCTCTGTCTCTCTGCAAAGTCACATGCCCTGTAGCAAAATTTCTCTTAAAAAAAATAAAAAGGATATTGTATATAGATGGGTTTCTGTATTTTTCAACTGATTTTTTAAATTCCATTTCTCCTCTTATAGGTGTCATTAAAAGTTATGTTTGTAATTTTGGTAGCTACTTTTTTTCTTATGCTGTATTTTGTAGGAATCACAAAAGAACCAAGTTTTATTTCAAAAAGAAGAGTTCCTTATTATGACCCACAGATTTCAAAATCTCTTGTGTGGAATGGAGCTATTTCAGAGGACCACGTGGTGGTTTCACCAAAACCCGAAGCCCCAGAAACACCAAAATCACAAGAGGCAGAACCAGAAGAAGATGTTAAGCACGAAAGAGTTCTTTCATTAGAAGCCTCCCGGGTTCCCAAGAGAACCAGATCTCACTCTGCAGACTCCAGAGCTGACAGGGCTTCAGATGTTGTGGAAAATAATGAGGATGTAATAAAAAACCACACACCAGTTAATGAAAATGTGGAACTTGAACATCCTGCCAAACCTCTTTCAGAAAATGTAGATAATGGGGTATGCATTCAGTATATTTCTTTAAAAATCATAAAATCCGTCGTTGGTATCACCACATTTCAGTAATATTGCATGTTTTGTTTGACATTTTTCCATTGTATTTTCTTATCTGAAATTTATAGTGTGATTGATGAGAGGCTGTTAACTTCCGTTGTGGTGAATGAGTTCTAATGCTTGATATTTCGTACTGGTTATACTAAGTTATCTCTTCACTGGATGGACAGCCTGCTTCTGGATTTTATTCATCATATATCAGCACCTGAGTCCTAAGGGAGAGATCAAGTTGAGACAGAGAAGGGGAGTAGGCCATTACTTCTGGCAAGGATGCTGAAATGACTTCTACCTAGCCCCTTTTCAGTTTCTTATTGTGTACCAGCAAGAAAACAAACAGAATCTCAATTGACAGAATGCAGAAGGAAGGGGAATTCTGGCTGGCTCTCAAAGGTCTTGCAGTTCTACTCTGTTATGTCACAGCTGGCCTGCAGCGGGTCTCAGCGAGCACTTAAGCCGAGGTGCAGGGACCTGTGCAGCGTTCTCGCTGCCTCCCACATTTCTTCCGCCTCTTCACTGCTGCTTCTCAGTTCTGTCCACCACTGATCGGAATCCAGGAGAGGCATTTGGGAGTGTTGGAGAAGAATCCGGGGTTTGTTGAGAAAGCTAGGGAGTACAAGGAATTGAGGAAGGTAATGTGTGAGTTCCGTGTGCAAGGGAAGAACTGTCCATAGAAGCGAAGTGTGGACAAGGCAAAGGCTGTAGTTTTTAGTAACATGTAATTATGAAGGATTGGTAGGAAGCGACTGAGAGATGTTATCTTTTTCTGAGATGTGTAATAGGTCCCTTGATAGTATTAAGAAAGAAATTTTAAATAGTTTGATAGTTTAGGTGAAAAGTGTGCTATAAAATAATGTAAATAGTTATTAATACTGTACTGTAGATATAAAACTTTAAAAAGGTAGATTTCATATTTTGTATTTTTTTTAACCACAGTTTTTAAAAAGTTTGAATAGAAATTTTTAATGGCTTTGAGTGGATTTTTTTTTCTAACAGTTGGATAGAGTTCTCCGTAAGAAAGCTGGATTGACCGTTGGTCCTTCACATAATGCCTTGAGAAATTCTGAATATCAAAGGCAGTTTGTTTGGAAGACTCCTAAAGAAACTGCTCCAGTTTTTACAGCCAATCAGGTAGTTTAATGGGTGTAATACATTTCTGAGTTATCATCTGATCCAGTGGTACAGATTTACATAGCTAAAAGCTGAAAGAAAGTAGGTACTTTAGCAGGCCTGGAGGTAGGTTCTGGAAAACTGAAAATGAGAGTTTTGCTACAATTACCTTATTACTTATGATTTATGGTAGTAATATTATACTGTCCTAGGCTACTGATGATCATTGTTGCCAGATTCATCACATATACTAAATATGAGACAGGGTAATGAAAACTTGGGGAATTGCTAAGTTTTTGCATGCTATAAGACTTCTTGAATTTGTTAAAAAAGTTATTTAGTTTTATTCTAAAATATTGTATTTAGTAACTCATATATTGCATGTTTTCATCTTCTAAGAAAGGCGTAACTACTTTGTATATTTATTTTAAGAAATATCACATATGTGGGGGACCAGCAGTTAGCGTAATGGCTATGTTGCTGGACTCCCACGTACTTGACCACGGTTCGCGTCCCGGACCGGGTGGCTTAAAACACGCTGGGCGCATGTGCGTGTGCGCCCAAGATCCCGAGAGGAGAATGGAGGAGAAGGGATTGCAGCGTGGCCATCCCCCCGAGGGGTGATTTCTCACTTTCTGTCTCTCTCTGTCTGGCGAGCGCATGCGCCCTATAGCAAAAACCTCTCCAAAAAAAAAAAAAAAAAAGAAATATCACATATGTGGAAAACAACACAAGATAAATACAATTTTGTCTTTATGTCAGATACATAGGAATAGTTATAGTTTACCTATATTTATTAAATTCAACAATTATAATGATAAATGTGACATTATATTTCATTATACTCTTACACAGTTTTAACACTGAGATACCATTATCTATAAGTTCCTGATGTTTTGTTACCTTCATTCTCTAGGCTCTTCCCACTTGTGCTCTTAATCATAGTTCCAGGTCTATTCGGAAATAACTACACTTAGGAAATCCCCAGAGGGCCCAGATGGCTTAGTCTTTTCTTTCTGTTGGTCTTTGTGCTTTTCTTTATAAACAAACACATACCTTCATACATCCTCACATCCATTTTCTCCATATTTCAACATTGACTTGTATACTTTACATACTCCTAAGGATTGAAAGGGTGATTAGATTCAGCAAGACAAGAATATCTGTGGTCTTACTTGAAGATGCTAACACCACTCGTCTTACAAATTGTGGCAGCTTTGCATGCACTTGGTATTCAAGTTTAAAAGTAACTTTGAAATTTATATAACTTGTCGGAACATATAAAGTTATAATGTGATATGTACCCTTCATTAATCTAGTAAATAGTATCAGTATTTCTTTTGCTCGCTCACAGATGCTCTTGGATAGTAAATGTACTTATAAAAATTACTTACCACCTGAATATTGTGAATGTTCAGTTTTTGTAGAGTATTTGACCTTTAAGCTAGAGCTGATCCAAATCAAAGTGCTATTGATAATTTTCATGTTAGTGAAAGCACTCTGTAGAATCAGAAGTATAATATAAAATAAATCACTAGCAATGTCTTCACTAGTAATTTTATTGCTTTCATTAGTGAGGATTTCAAGGAATTTTTTTTGAAACATGTTCTTTGTTAGTTCAGAGCATGTCAGTTTCAAGGTCTGTATGGAAGAGCTCTGTGACAAGCTTTCAATGTTTGTTGATGGAGAACCTCTAAAGGAGCTGTTCAGTTCTCTTTCATCAGACACCTGTTTTCTGAAAGGGTGTCTCATATTAATATGCAAAGGAGTCAGAACAGTTAAGTTTTGGGCTGGGAAGCCATGAGGCTATGTTGCATCAAAAAAGATATACTATTTGATCTGTATGAAGATTTGATCTCTATTCAACATTATAAATCAATAATATGTCTCATTTGAGATATCTCTTCCATTTGCTTTCCTTGTAATCAATAGTAATATACTATAAAAATGGAAACCATATTGTGAAATAGTAAAATTAAAAGGAGACATTTAATGTTAAAATACAGTAATTACCTGAACTTTTTCTCTGCCTTAATAAAAAAGCTAAAATTGGGGCTAGTGGGTGGTGTGGTGGTTAAGGTGCTGGATTCCCACATGACCAACCACGGTTCAAGTCCTGGACCTGGTACTTTGAAAGTCATACCAGATGCATGTGTGCGTGTGCCCAGAATCCCGAGAGGAGAATGGAGGAGAAGGGATTGTGGTGTGACCATCCCCCTGGGGAGGTGATTTCTCGCTTTCCTTCTCTCTGTCTTTCTCTAGTGAGCATATGTACCCTATGACAAAAACCTAAAAAAAAAAAATAAAAAGCAAAAACTAAGCAAACACAAGAAAATCTAAACAAATTGAACATACCAGGTATTCAAAATGTTAAGAATCTTCTATTTTTGCAGGAAGAAGGAAAATTCATGTAAAGGAGGAAAAGAAAACCTGTAGAGCTGCTAGAAAATTGCAAGCTAATATCTATGTTTATATTTTAAAAATATATCTATTTATTCCGTTAACAAATTAGTGGGAGGAGAGGTTGGGACCAATAGAGAGAAAACATTAGACATGAGTATGGCTCATTATTTATTTTAGCTAAACATTATGTTGATTATAATTTCTGTTATTCAAAAATACATATAATAATGATTCTCAAAAGTTGACCTTTGGATTTTAATTAGACATGTGAAATGAAATTACAAGCAACTATATATAATTTTGCCTTTTTGGTGTCCTATAATTTAACTTCATTTTTTTTTAAGCAATTAAAGACAGTTTTGTATATTTAACGAACAAATAAACTAAAATATTTTTGTTTTAAGGTTTTCTACAATAAAAGCAAGTTTGACCCACAGTTCAAAGGGAACTCAGTTATCCATGAAACTGAATACAAAAGAAATTTCAAGAGTTTATCTCCAGTGAAAGAACCAAAATTAAGAAATGATTTGAAAGAAAACGGAAATCTTGAAGAAGAGTCTCCTGAAAGAAAGGTATTTCACTCTTTTTTTTTTTTTTTTTTGAGATGTTTTCGCTATAGGGCGCGTGTGCTCACCAGACAGACAGAGAGAGACATAGAGACAGAAAGCGAGAAATCACCCCCCAGGGGGGATGGTCACGCCGCAGTCCCTTCTCCTCCATTCTCCTCTCGGGATCTTGGGCACGCATGCACACACGCCCGGTGTGAGTTTTAAGCCACCGTGTCCGGGACGTGAACTGCGGTCGACTACGTGGGAATCCAGCTACATAGCCATTACGCTAACTGCTGGTTCCCAAGTATTTCACTCTTTTAAACAAAACAAAAATCTCATGATTTTAGACTCTACACATTATCTTTCACTACCATTTGAGTTTTTTTTTCTTTCTTTTTTTTTTTTTTTAAGCTAGTTCTTTTCTCATTTTGTTTATTCGTCAAACATCAGATGTTCATAGAGCACCTACCAAGAGTCAGGCACTGAGAAGGTATGAAAGTTCAAGAATAACAAACACAGTTAAGTCCCAAACAGTCTTGGGCTAGTGGGGAGATAGATGTTTAAGTAACAGAAAATACTACAATGGGATGAATACTTAGTGATACAACAGGTCAGTCCACTGTGCCCAACATCAAATGATTGGCCTTACAGAGATGAAATCTCCAGGGGTAACAATACTGTTAGAAACGCATTTTAAATTAAGTAACGGAAATGGAACACAAGGAAAATAAACTGCTTAGATTTGATCTGGATGTATATACATGGATTTTAAACCAAAGGTTTCCGCATGCCAAATGATAGCCAATATAATTTACAGATATGTTAACAGCTGCTTCTGTGTGTGAAATTGGTAGCCATTTAGATTGTGGTACCAGGTTAAAATGATATAAATGGTAGGTAAATGAGCATATGTACCACTTCGAATCTCTGGGTGTGTTGGCACCTGACACTTTGTGAGCTATAAAATAGAAAGGATAGAAAGAGTATGAATAAAACTACAAATGACTGAAAGTAAAATGATTTATATGTGTGCGCGCGCACACACACACACACACACACACACACACACACACACACATGTATATATGTATGTAGTGACCATAGGATCACTTTTAGGGAGAAAAAATGAACTTATTCAGTGAAACAAAGTGGTAACTTAGTCAACAAGATCTTACATTTAATTACTATAACACAATTAAATGTAAATTTAGAAAAACAACAGTAAATATAAGATTTAATACTTAGTAACATCAATGTTTTATTTAGATGAGTGTTTATTAATTCAAAATTTTCTCTAGGCAAAATTCTAAAATCTTTATTTTTAGCAAATAAAACTGTATCTTAAGAAATACTTTTAAAAAAGGCATATATGCTAGTTTCAAAACCTGTTTGTTGATTTCAGTTATCTTTAGAAGTTAAAACTTACGTCTAAAAACAGAAATGTAATACAGTGTCCAAGTCTAACTTGGTGGCATCTTTGTTTTCACTTTAATGTATTATATATTTTAAGCATAAAAAGCTTAAATAATTTCCATTGTAGTGTAATAAAACAGATGATCCTTTAAAATTAGAAGCAGAGATGGAATCAAAAGACTCAAAGCAGCCTAAAAAGAAGCTTACCCCTTGGAGACATCAAAGACTTGGGTATGTATTTTGTAAGAAAAATATTATTGTATCTATGTGAGCAACGTGGTGGGATATTTACTTTCATTTTATTTCCACTAGGAAGGTGAATTCTGAATATAGAGCAAAATTTCTGAGCCCAGCTCAGTATTTATATAAAGCTGGGGCCTGGACACGAGTGAAGGAAAGCATGCCGAACCAGGTGAGCGTACGTCAGCTCAGTAAGCTGATATTCTGTTTCAGCTTGCATAATGATTTGATTGCACGGTGATTTCATTTAGTAATGGAGACCACAGTGTAAAGATGTATGGTACAATAACAGCACTAAAAGTATCAGGAACTTTAAGTTGTTGTGTATTAAGATATAATTTGTCACTGTCTTTACTTTTTAATTTTTTAATCAATAGTCCTCCTAAAAGGTACTACTTACATTATTGAAGTCTTCAAAATTAAAAGTTTTTCTACAGTCAGACATTTGATTGTATTAATAAGCTTAATTTGCAGAACTGTAGCATAATAGATTGGATTTACCTTGATACAGCATCTAGACCTCAGTCTCTTAAGTGCAGATTAGTTGTCAAGATAGGTCAACTTGGGAACCAGCAGTTAGCGTAATGGCTATGTTGCTGGACTCCCACGTAGTCAACCGCGGTTCGCGTCCCGGACCCGGTGGCTTCAAACTCACGCCGGGAGCGTGTGCATGCGTGCCCAAGACCCTGAGAGGAGAATGGAGGAGAAGGGATTGCGGTGTGACCATCCCCCCTGGGGAGTGATTTCTCGCTTTCTGTCTCTATGTCTCTCTCTGTCTGTCTGGAGAGCGCACATGAAAACCCAGAAAAAAAAAAAAAAAAAAAAAAAAAGATAGGTCAACTTGTCTGAACTTGTCTGATGGTGGCATGCACTGTCACTGTGTCCAAAAGGAAGGTGCAGCCTGTGCTGTTAAAAGCTTGAGTTATAGTGTTGGGATACCCTGACAAGGGAGAAACTCCAGGAATCTAAAAATCGATTGGAGGGAAAGGACAATTAAGGTTAGAGTTGAGAGGTGCTACTTCAGCACTAGCTGCTGCTGCTTTTTTTTTTTTTTTTTTTTGAGAGGGTTTTGCTATAGGACGTGTGTACTCGCACAGAGAGAGACAGAGGGACAGAAAGCAAGAAATCTCCCCTCGGGCGGATGGCCACGCTGCAATCCTTTCTCCTCCATTCTCCTCTCAGGATCTTGGGCATGCACACACACGTGCCCGGCGTGAGTTTAAGCCACCAGGTCCGTGGCTCGAACCACAGTCGACTACATGGGAGTGTGTTGACATAACCATTATGCCAACTGCTGGTCTCAGTACTAGCTTCTTATATTCAAAGCGTAAAAAGTGGAATATTTTGGTTATTGTATAATTAGCATCTTTAAAATCATATCTTGACCTTTTTTTTTTTTTTGTCTTTTCTATGTGAATAAGCTAAATGAAAACATTTCTGTTTAGCTTAGATGTAAGTAACCACCCCCTTCCCGCTGTCATTATAGAGAGGGATATTTGGATAGGGAATAATCTTTTATCTGTACTTAAAACCATGGCCAACAATTATGCATGATTGGCCTGTGTGGGTATGGTATGGGTACTTTGAACTGCTGGCCTTTGAGCTGGTAGTTCCCAGACATTTTTTCTGGGTGACTCCTGGGTTCTGCATGTGGTTTCAGAAGGTTTCTTGATTCCTGCTACTGTGGCTGCTCTTGGTGCTCTCTACTTGAGAATGACTTAGGGGTAGAGTAACAGACAAAGCTCAAAGGTGTTTTAGGACAACAGTCATCTGGCGAAATCTAAATAAAATACAGGCGTTGGAGGCAGCCTTGATGGAAGAAAGGAACTGAGTCAGCATAATCCTTGAGCAGTTTGTGACCATCCTAGATCTTGGCAAGAAACTCTATGTCTGGGGAGTCTGATGGGTCTGGGGAAAAGCCAAGGCAAAGACAGCATACAGTGACCATTGAGGGACCGCTGGTGCTTCACTCAGTTGAGGTCATGGGAAGCTACTTATTTTGAAAGATGAACTCTGAGACTTTTTTACACTACTATGAATTGGTTTTAGGTTTCAGATCTAAACATTACATAGACTATCAGATCATTATGTCTGAAGTCAAAATAACGTGAAATTTTTTATCTTCCCCTGATGGAAGAGAACATTTTTATTGTTAATTTAAGATTTGTTTTTTTAGGGTTTCCTTTTATGAGATCTTGGTAACAATTTTGTTTTGTTTTACTTTGTTAATTTCTGTTGGTGGTTGTAAATATTTAAGGTAGTGGTATAGGTTGCCTTAACTTTTTTTGGGCAAAATAATTTAAAAAGTAAATTGGAATTAGAAAAGAATAAGACTTTTTTTAAAAAATGTCCACCAACTTTTTATTTTAAAATAACAAAAATATTTTAAAAGAATAAGAATTTTTAACTAAGAAGTGATCATTGATGGTAATAACAGGTTTACTTGGCTAGGTTATTGATACTTAATATGGGCCATATTTTGTTTAAATCTTAAGATTTTTTTCCCCCCTGGAAGATATGTACTATATGTGACTGATGATGAAGTGCCTAATATAAGGTACTCCGTCATTTCCTGCTCCTAACATTTAATCAAAGGGATATGTTCAGAGTCTTCAAATGTACTTTGACATCAGTGACTTTGTTATCATTAGAGTATTAACACACTTTTGAATCATGTTACAATTTTCTGGTCCATATACCATCTACATTTCCTTTTCTGTTTTTTGAAATATTGTGCTTTTTGAATTAATCTATAGTCTGGTGCCTGGAAATTTTATCCTTAGTCCCCTGTTCATAAAACATTTGGGTGGTTGTTTTTATTTGTCTGGTGATTATGTGTCATCTGTATAATATAACCACTTGTACCGGTGTTTATATTATAAAGTGTTCACTTAAAGGATTATTTTAAATAATAACCAGTAATTGAAATTGTTTGTTCCCCATGTGCAGAAAAACTAACTACTAAATCTGTGGGGTTGTGTTTATTGCTTGCTAGATAATTGTTTAATCATCCAAACTATTATACATTGATTGAGGTAATTTTATTCTCATTGTTTTCCGCATACATGACTTTGTTTCTAAATAAAGTCCCACATTTGAGAGAGATCCTGTAATGTGACAGATATTGCAAGGACTAGGTATAAACTGACTTCTATTTTAGGGAAAAATTTTTTTTTCCTCCAGTTTTGTGAGTTTGAATTTTCTGCATATAAATGTTAAACAATTTAGTTGAACTTTTAATTTGTGAAAATAAATCCAGAAATGAAAACATTCTACTTAGTGTTTCTATCATATAATCTGATGGCATTACTTGACCTGGAAAGCAGTGCGTGTATGTATTATTTTAATTTAGTTGGAAATGGTTTATTCCTTTACGTTTTACTGGTTCTGGTTATTGGCTGTAGGGATTGTTCTTAAATTTTAAGGACAAGTTTTTATTTTTTTGATCTTTTTATTTATTTATTTATTTTAAGTTGCCAGAGAGGGTGTGCATTCCCCAGAGAGACAGAGAAGGGAGAAATCACCCACCCAAAGGGTTGTGGACATGCTGCAATCCCTTCTCCATCCTGTCCAGATTCTGGGTGTACATATACTTGTGTCCTGCATACTCTTGAAGTTGGGATTTGAACTGTGGTTGGCCATGTGGGATCTGACTCCCTTAACTACCAGGCCATGGGGCCACCTTTAAGTAAGACAGGAAGTTACTTATTTGTCTATTTTCTCCACATATGAGAGAGAGAGGTATGGCACCCACAAAAGGGTCTTGATGCAGTGATCCACTCCCAGGCAGCCCCATAATGGGCACTTGCATGCCCACCAGTCATGAAGGTCTCTGGACTTGTACCTGGAATCTTCTCATGTGAGTCAGCCTCATAGAGTGTCAGGTTTTACTACTATGTCACCATTCACACCCAGGGGATGTTCTTAATATCGAGTTTACACCATTTCTTTCTTTTTCTCTTTCTAGTACAACACCTTATTTTGGGAGATGTTTTCCTCGTACTGTTTTTCATCTTAGTTTAGGATTATAGATGTTCAAAACTGAGCATTTGTAAAACATAATATTACTACGAAGATTTGATAAAGATAGCTGATAAAGTAAGTTCAAGCACCGAGTTTTAAATGTCAGTAAACATATAGAACTGAATTAACTGGCTTAATAGAATTTCCATAAGGTATTTTCATTTCCCTCCTCTCTAAATAGGATTAATACCAAATATAACTGGATCACTGTGTCCATAGAGGGGGTATTTGTCCATCGTCTCGTTTATCAAACAGTAGGGTTCTGCCTCTTAGAATGTTGCCTCCTCGGCTGCTCCTTCCCATACTACCCAGTGTGTAGTGTGGTCTTATTTTGGACCACTCCTTCAATTTCTGTCTCATTGTTTTTATGTATAGGCCATTCCAGTGTCAGGATAATCATTTGTGTGCAGGTCAGCCTCCTCTAGCAGACTGTGACTCCTCGAGTGCTTATCTTTGGCTACCAGCTGTCTCTCACTCAGGCCTGCTGCTTAGTCTATATTTGTGCATTCAGTGCTTAAATGCTACATTTTCCTTCACCTTGGGAGTTCACAGGTTAATGGAGGAGGATGACTTGAACAATGGAATGGGGTCAGAACTAATGGGGATGTGTACCAAGGACTTTGAGAAGAGAGGAGAAAGTGATGCTAAGGCATGCAGATTTTATCACGTAGATGATGGAGTAGCTATGAAACATGTGAGACATGGAGTCACGTACAGAAATACTGTCCAGGGAGTATCAAGACAGGCTATAACAAGGCTTCTATGCCTGCATGCAGGATGTGCTCATTAGAAGGTCAACAGACCTGGTCCCCATGTCTCAGTTCTACCCATTTAGTGCAAAAACCACTACTTGTAATTTTTTTTTTTTTAGAGTCTTTTTGCTATAGGGTGTGTGTGCTTGCCAGACAGACAAGAGAGAGACAGAGAGACAGAAAGCGAGAAATCACCCCCCAGGGGGGATGGTCATGCCGCAATCCCTTCTCCTCCATTCTCCTCTCGGGATCTTGGGCACGCACACACAAGCGCCTGGCGTGAATTTAAGCCATCGGGTCTGGTACTCGAACCGCGGTCGATTACGTGGGAGTCCAGCGACATAGCCATTACGCTAACTGCTGGTCCCACTACTTGTAATTTTCTTTAAAGTGAAGGAGTTAACTGAAATAATAAATGAACATAACACAAACTTTGGCAGTGAAGGAAACAATGGTGTGAATAATTCTTTAGGTGTATTTTTCAAGTTTCATTTATTTGAGCTGTAGGACTCTGCTGGTATTATGGTTTCTTGTGTCATGACAGGTACTGTCCTTCGCTTTGGCTCATTCTCTAGACCATGGACGTTTCCTTCATTTGCATTCAGTGTTGTCTTCTTAAGGATCTGAGGATATTTTCCCAGTTGCTTTTGATTGCTTTATTTGCTTACTTTGCCTTTAAACAAATGAAAGGTAACTTCTCCTTTTAAAGTTAGTATCCCATGTTTCTGATATAAAGTATCAGAATTTTTTGAGAATAAATAAAGCTTGTCAACAGAACTTTAAGGGGAAAGCTGAAACTTCTTTTTTCACAGTGTAGAATTGCATAAGAGAAGCCAGCAGGTGGCAGTATGATGAATAAAATGAAAGGGACTCAAAAAGACATAAAGGCTTCTTTTCATATGAAAATATGCTATTTACGTAATAGGGAATTCAAATCATCTGTCAGTTCATCAGAACCTTTTCCTTTGAATCTTCTTTGTTTATGATATTGCAATTATTATTTTGTAAGATTTTCTTTTGTGTGTGGAACATTTTAAAAAGCTGAGATTTTGCTGATTCTAAGGGGTTGAGAAATTTGGAAAAGGAAACCTCATCATTCTCTCAGTGGGGCTTCTGATATAATACAAGCTGTAGAAGGAGCTAGGAGTTACTAGTATAGCAGTACTTTCAAGAGGTGGGGAAATAGGAATAGTAATTAGGCTACCAGTCATTGACAGCATCCTAGCAGCGCAAGAATGTGGCTGGTTTAAAAGGTAATATTATGATAGCTTGGTTACTGAATCAAATACTGCTAAGAATACTAAGCAAAGTGGATTGACAAGTTTGATATAAATGTAGAAAGAAGAATAATAAGGTATTTCATTAATTCCCATTAATATTCAGTTCTGGCATTAAGTGTGTTTCTGTATTCCTCTCCTAGGGTTCTCTAAATGCCATGTGGTATGCGGAGGTTGGTTGCTTTTGAGTTTTTAAAAACTATAATAATGCATAGAGTACTTGTGTAATTTCAGTTGGAATAAGAAGTAGGTGTCAATATTTTCCTTAGCTGCTACAAATTTATTCATGCCTGCTGGTCTGTAATAAATAACTGCATTATGCTTTAGCTTGTTCTATTTTCTGCTTAAATGCTCATAGTCTGATGACTGTATGTGGCTGTTTTTGCCTTCTTTTCTCCTTGGTCTCTGGCTGTATTTGTGCAATGTCTTTACTCTGCTGCTTGGTGATATTTGTAAAGGAGTATTTACAATAACACATGATGTCTAACTCTCTTGTATAGGTTAAAGAACTCCGAGAGAAGGCTGAGTTTTATAGGAAACGAGTTCAGGGAACACATTTTTCTCGAGACCATTTGAATCAGATTATGTCTGATAACAACTATTGTTGGGATGTTTCCTCGACCACGAGCTCAGAAGGAACCATTAGCAGCAACATCAGAGCACTAGATCTTGCTGGGTGAGGTGTTTGTTGTGAATGGCAGAAAGAAAATATGCGGAAGCTTATGCCGATCAGGATGATTCAGGAAAATAATAGGACTATTCAGAATCTGTCTCCTAGTCAGATGGATGCGTGCCAGCCATTTATTTGGTTTCATTACTTTTAGTTTATTCTCTAAAAAATAAAGCTGTGGGCACTTGTGTATAAATAATACATAATATAAACTTGGAAAACTGGATTTTAGAGTATTCTTTGTTAACAATAGCAGACTAGGGATGATTGTATGAGCTGTAACAGAACTTCAAGAAGTTGTTTTTATTAAGAAAAAGGGTCAACAGCAATAAACATTCAGAGTATAAACTATTAGTACATATTTATTATCATTTGTTAATGGATTTTGTGGTTAATATGGAGCTTGACCCCTGATTTTACGGGAGAATTTTCTGCTGTTTTGGGTTTTAAAGTGGATGTGATTTATAAGAGAAGTGACACATCGATTTGTGACAAATAAAATGGATCTTAGCTATTAGAGAGTCACACACTGCACAGTAATGTCTTGGCCAGTAATGGACTGCATGTGTAATGGTGGTCCCATGAGATGTTTGGGCTGTGTCATACCGCCTAAGTATGAAGTAGGCTACACTGTGTAGGCTTGTGGAAGTACACTCCATGATGTTCACACAGTGACAGAATTGCCTAGCAGTGCATTCTCAGAATATGTCCCAGTCACTAAGTGATGCATGACTTTATGTTAGTAGTCATGCTTACCAACTGAACCTATAAATTTTAATTTTATCCGATTTTAAAAGTTTGTTACAAAATCTACAATTTATTGAAAAAATGAATCTACCGAAAGTAAAACTTGAATCAGCTTATTAATCACAAGTATACTTGTTTGTGTACAAACTCCAGTTGAGTATCTAAATAACTCTGACCATGTGGGGTCATGGTTCTTTGTGTAAAAGCCAGTTTAGGGGCTAAGTATGACTTGTCTGCAGAGGTGCAGGCATATATTCTTGAAGGTAGAAGGGAAGATAAATATATTTTATTTTGGAATATAATCATAGAAACTCAGATTATAACTTTCATTTATTATCCTATGAAATGAACTCTTAATTAGATTTCTCTTTTCATTTGCACAAGGGAGTATCTTGAGAAACCAGGTAGTTGTGAACAGTGGAATGAATTGTTGAACTCACTAAAATAAGTGTAAACTTCTAAACTCAAACTACTTAAGTTTAAATAAAACTTTTTTTTTTTTTAATGCAGAGATCCCAGAAGCCATAAGACTTTGCAGAAATGTCCTTCTGCAAAACCAGAAGAAAAAGGACATACCTTAGAAGAACAGCCACAGAAAAATACCACGAAAAAATTAGGCATGTCAGAGTCTCCCACTGTACCTGTTAGAAGGCGACTGGCTTGGGATGCAGAGAACACCAGTGAAGACATACAGAAAGAGCCCAGAGGGGAGGAGGAAGAAAAGGAGAGGGACAAACAGGTTTATGTAGAAGAGTTAGAGAAGTTGGATGTACATGAGAAATCTAAGCCAGACAAGATAAAAGAAGGGTGAGTGTTTTAATTTACTCAGTATGTGTGGAAGCATTAATATACATGGTTACTATTTATCTTGTTTTGTTACTAACTATAGTAGTTTACACTTTTGGTTTTATGACTAATCACGAGCAGATTTTTCTTAAATGCCACAAAGTAAGAACTGTTGCATAGTTTATAATTTGATTCACTCAGGTATTTGAGTCACGACTAATTGATAATTGAACACTGAAACACTTTGGAGGAAGCAGAGTTATTTTTATTTAGGTCCTGTAATTATGACTTGTGAGATTTACAAATGCATCTGGAAGAATAACTTCCTTTATACTGAAGGAAAATAAGCTGATGTTCTTTAATATCAGATGGTTCTACCAAAGAAGAAAGAATAGATAATGTTTTGTAATTAAAAAGAGAGATTTCTGACAATAGTCAATCCTATTGTCACGTGCAGATTATTTTGGGGAGTGATACTGTACCACTGAGAGTGGTGGTGCTTTGTGTCAGTAGTCCAAATCCTTTACTTGTGGGTGTGCAGCTGATCTGAGCTTGGGCCCTGACTTAGTGGAAGAATTATCAGCTGTGTTGTTACTGACTTATGTTGATCATCCCCTTTCCAGTATTCAGTCACTCTTGACTGGACATGGATTTCTTATTTTTTCAGAAAGAAAATGGCCTTCAAGTTTTTTACTTTATTATTGCATGATAGCAAGGTATTTTTAATCATACTTTCTGGAAGAAATGCTTCATAATAGCTTGTTCCAATTTGTAGGTCGGATTCTTCTTCCGTATCCTCAGGAAAAGGAGGCAGACTTCCTACTCCAAAGTTGAGAGAACTGGGTGGAATCCAAAGGACTCATCATGACCTTACTACTCCAGCTGTTGGTAATAGGCAAACACTGCATAGCTCTTGTATAACTTGCCTTTTCTCCATGATCATTTGGTTTCACTGAAACTCGTCCTCTGCACTTTTGTAGGTGGTGCTGTTTTAGTTTCTCCATCTAAAGTGAAGTCTCCAGCTTCAGAACAGAGGAAAAGATTGACTCCTCAGGATGGCCTAGAAACTCCCAAAACTGTCTTAACTAAGGTAAATATTTTTATATTTTGGAAAAGCATCTATCTGTTCCAGATTATTTTAGTTATATGTAATAAAAGGTAGATTGACATTTTGGAAACTTCTGTCATACGTTGAAACGATACAATTCACATGATTTTTGTAAGGCAAAGGCATTGCATTTCTGTTGATATACCTCCAAATCTTGTCAGTAGTGACTCAACAGGAAGAGAGAGAAGAAAAGCAATACTGTCCGCTGAGCATCTTCTGTGTGGCAGTTGTGTTCCAGCACTATTTTAGCACTGGAAGTACCATAGTGAACAAAACAGATAAAACTCCTGACCCTCGTTGAGTTTAGATTCTAGTGGCAGAGAGAGGCAATAAGCAAGATAACTAGATAAATCACAGTATTTTAGCTAGTGATGAGTATGAAGGAGAAAAACCAGGAGATATAAACAGAAAATGGCCAGTGAAGTCCTCACTGAGAGGATAGCATTTGGGTAGGATCTGAAGGAGGTGGGAGAATAACTTGTGTGAATATCTGGGAAGACTTTCTAGACAGAGAAAGCAATAAGGGTAAAATCTCTGAGATCAAGAGAGTACCTGAGGGGCCAGGATGTGGCGTAGTGGTTATATTGCTGGACTTCCACAAGGCCAACCACGGTTTGAGTCCCAGACCTGGGACTGTGAAATGGGAAGCCATTGGAAAGACAGAAACAGTACATAATTTGACTTAGGATTTTTTGAAAGTCATTCTGGTCACCGTGTTGAGAGCAGACCATGGGGGAGCAAGGGTAAGGACATGGAACCTGTTAGGAGTCAATTATAATATATAATATCATTTATGATTTTTAATCTGAGTGATAAAGGGTGGAGTTGCCATTTTACTGAGATGAGGAAAACAGTGAGAGGAAAAGATCTATCAGGAAAGATCAAGAGTTCTATTTGGAATATGGTAAGTTTGAGAAGTTTATTGGTTATATGTGTTGAGGAGGGAGTTGACCGTATGAGTCCATTGGCTAGATGCAGTGTAGAGGAAAAGGAGCTGCAGATACAGATTTGAGGCTCTTTATTTTAAAGGTGGGAGAGGTATGTAAAGCCTTGAGACTGTAGGAGACAGTCAAAGGAGCAGAGCTTCTGAGCCCCTGTTGAAGACTAACCAGCAAGGAGACTGAATGGAAGGTGGTGACAAGAGGAGACTGGAGTCTGGAGGTATCTAGGTGGAGTTGAGAATCAATGATCCTGATAAGTCCAGAAGGTATGAGAATTGGCTATTAGATTTAGCAACATGGAAGTCACCGTTCACCTTCATAAAGGACAGTTTTGTTGGTAGGGATGGGTAAAAACCTAAATGCAAGCGGATCACAGAGAAATAAGAGGAGAGGACTTGGAGACAGCTATTACAGATGATTGTTTCTGGAGTTCTTTTTCCAAGAAGGGAAACAGAGTAATGTAGTAGTAGTTGAAAGAAGTGAGACCAGAATGGAAGAGAGAACAGCATGTTAGTATGTTGATGCAAATAATTTGTAAGACAAACTGAAGGGGTTGTGTGTTTTTCTCTGAGCATGTTTGGCTGTAGAGGTGGAGGATAGAAAGTCGTATTTACTTGGCTTGTCAAGAGAGTAAGACAAAATGAGGAGCAGGTACAAGAGTTCAGGTATGTGCAGGGAAGTGATTATATGATCGGCTATGGACCTTGAATTGGTTAGGGAGGAACAGTAGGAAAGACTGAAAGGTATAAAAGCATGGAGAGCAACTGTGGGTACTAGAGGCAGTGCAGGAGGAGGGTGGGAAATGGACGAGAGTGAGAGGGAGGGAATCAAGGGGAAAAGGAAAGAAGCAAAACTGTTCTGTTCCCTTGTTAGCTCTCCTCCTCACGAGGACACCGACTGGAAGGTGTGAGCTTCCAGGCAGCTGTGCACACAGCTCTGACTCAGCCAGAATGAGTGATTCTGATCCATACTTGCAGCTGGACTTATATGTCTTATTTTATCTATTGTGGAATCAATTTGTTGAACAACCCAAATAGAGTAATAGTGCCATTAACATCTTAATGCCAGTCTTTGCCTCAGAGGGCACATACTACAGTTGTAGCATTTTAATTAAATACCCTTCTAAAGTAAACAGACTTTTTATTAATAATTTAATTAGAAATCTTTCTGTGTAAATTTTTTTGCCATCAGCACTCCCAGGAGTTGTATTCAGGAATTAGATTTGGTTATTTCTCATCCTCTACCCCCTTGGTTCCTGGTCGGCATTGGAGTCATCAAACGATATACACAACCATTTTTTTCTCATTTACTTTCTTGTAAATACTATTACATATAAAATTAAACTCATAAGTCTTTAAGTTTTCATTAAATTATTCCCATTATTAGATTTTCCTTGAGTAGTCTCACCTTCTGTCTCTTTTTTGCCATAGGAATTAGGGAGCTTACGTGATTGTAATGTCCAGAAATCGTACCACTGTTAACTTTTAATCATCTTTATTCCACCTTGACTTGTGGAATATTATGGGGCAGCAGCAGTTTGGGTAACTTATACTTTACATGTGTCAACTTGTTTAGTCTTCAAAATGAATCTCAGAGCTAGGAATTTTTATTACTTTCACTTAGGTGGTAAAACTAAGAATACAAAACTGCTAAATGGTAGAGTAAAATTTGACTTCAGTTGGTCTTTCTCACATCTGTGTTTTTAACTCCTAAACAATAGTGTCTTATAAAACTTAAAAGAGTTCTCATGGTATTGATTTCATTATCAAGGAGCATTTTCAAATCTTGTAAATGAAAAGCTTGTGTGTGCTAGCTTGCCTCATTCATTCAGCAGATGTTAGCCACATGCTAGTTGCTGTGGCCATGGTAGTGAATAAAAAGAGACATGGTATAGCCCAGTACAATAATCAGTCACACCAATAAAAAGAAACAGAAACACAGTAGAATTAAAAGTACTAAGAATTTCAAAGTAGAATGCTGTTCTGGAGAAAATTGGCCTGGTCATGTAGGTCAGAAAACTTCTTGGAAATCAAGGATGCTCCTTAAAAGAAGTCATAATTGAGCTAAGACAGAGGAAAAGGAAGCATTAACTGGATAGAAAGGGTGGGGAGGAGGAAGTAGCATGTGCCGAGATCCTTTTGAGAGAAAGAACATAAGAGTTTTCAGAAACAAACAGCAGTATAGGGTGTGGCAGGGAACGTGGTGGAAAAGATAGCAATACTGAAAATATCTGTAATTGTCCCCAGTGCAAAAGATGGCATTGAAATATTTGAAATGTAGGGCTGTTGTGATTGTTTTATGTTTGGCAAGTTCTGCTTGGCTTCCCTGGAAAGCAAGAGTATGCTGTGGATATCCTTAAAAGCAACTGTGATAGTTAAGTAGAAGAATTTGATAGCTTGGAGTAAGTAGGTGGGTGCAGATAGAGGTGGATGAAACTGAAGAATTGTGAAAGTGGAACAGTGGCAAGACTTGATGCTAGGTTGGATAATGGGGATGAGAGACAAGGATGATAGACCACGGTTGACTTTTCTTGGCTTCTTCAGAGAGATTGATGGTGATCTTGAACACTGTGTAAGAGAACTTTGGGCAAGACCTCTCTTTGTGGGAAATACCAGCAATTTCATTTTTATTGACTCAATTCAATATTTAGTGGACTTTTACTATGTGCCAGACACTGTTCTAGGATCTGGGATTCATTGGTCAACAAGTCAAAATCCTGTCTTCATGGAGCTTACATTTTCAGTGGGAGAAAAGGACAATTTTTTGAAAAGATAATCCCAGGTCATTTTAAGTGCTGTTAATTAAATGTATGCAGCTCGCCTTTCGGGATTGGATGAGGCTTCTGTAGTTCGGGCCACCAGGACAGGCCCATTTACAGAGGTGGCATTTTAGCTGACTCCTGACTAATGAGTGAGGTGCCCATTGCAGTCGTGTGGGGCAGACATTTGCCTGGTAGAAGAAACAGTAAGGCAGGTGTTAGAGAGTTTTAACGAGAGTGAGAAGGCCGGTGATGCCAGAGCCTAGAGAAGGGTAAAGGAGAAGCTAGAAAATAAGGTTGGAAAGGGGGAACAGGTAAGGCATTTGGTTGTTATTCTAGGGCCACTGGCAAGTTCTTGGAAAACTAGAAGCAACAGCAAATGAGATCTGATTTATGGACTAACTCAAACCACTGTGGTTACTCAGTGGGGAACTGCCATACACAGGGCAGAGTGGAAGCACTGAGGCTGGTGAGGAGGCTGTGGGTTCAAAAACAGATCACAAAATCAGATGCATTAAACCTGGGAACCCCATGTGTTTGACATACTTCATCGATTTCATTCAGGTCTTTTTAACCATAGTGAAATCAATTTGACTGAGATCCTAATTTGTGTTGATATATATAGAAAAAGAAAATAAATCAAGAGAACAATTTCTCTTTGGAATTATTTGTATTACACTAAGTGATCCTTGTAGTTAAAAAGGAAAGAAAAAGAAGATTTGTGGTTTTATCCTAGATCTGGATTTTAAAATATGTATTTGTTGGTTGAGACCCACGCCATTTCTACTTTAAAGCAGTAAACTATTGCATAAAATTGTATTTAAGATTTCAAAGCATTGTTTGGAATGTTGCGCTGAGATACCTGAAGGTACTAAGTGAAGGCAACAATTGCAAGGAAGAATCAGGAAAGTTTAGGAACTGTATTTTATTTTATCAGCCTGTATTTTAAGAAGTAAAATCATCAGGGACTTTCAGGATCATGATACATTGTCATTGTGGAAAACAGTAAGTACTGACCAAACTCAAATAGGAAATAAATGGTCTCACACTTACTGTCCAAGGGATACCACTGTTATATTTTTGACATTTTTAGTTATATGCATATGTTAGTATATTCATTATACTGTGGATAAGTATGTAGGTGTGGATAGAATAGACTTAGTAGATACATCCATCCTTTAGCTACATTTTTGTTCATATTATTATCTCTTTTTGTGTAAATACTCTGTTAATATTGTGTGGTCAAAGAGCACAAAATTTTGAGGCTTTTGCTTATGTTTTGCCAGCCCCCTCAGAAAGATTATACTTTCAACAGCAGTCTGTAAGAGTTTGCAGCTCACCTTTCGGGATTGGATGAGGCTTCTGTAGTTCGGGCCACCGAACTACAGAGTTTCAAATTTTCCACATCTTTACCAGCTTTGATTATTCTTGTTTTTTTTTTAAATTAATTTTTGCAATTCGATAAATGGAAAATTAATACTTCACTGCTTTTATTTTTTAATTATTTGATTATTAGCAGGGTAGAATACGTTTACCATTTGTAATTCATGTGTACGTTAGTTGTTTATTCATATTCTTTCTCTACCCTTTTAATTAAGTTATTTGTTTATTACTTTTAAAGAAATATTATGTCAATGATAATAATCCATTGTCAGTCATGTAAGTTGTATATTTACCCAAAGTTTTTCCTTTTTCTTTTAATTGTTTTGAATGTGTTTATTTTTTGGTTTTATTAGCAAAGTGTGTTTTATGGTTGTTAGGTTTATAAAATCTTCCCCATATGAAGGTTACATAAATTTTCCCCATAACTTTTCCTATTACTTTTGTGGTCATTTATATCTATTTATTTATTTTTTATTTAAATGTTTGGTTTCTTTATTAACATAGGTTCACATACATATGTATCTTTTCTTTTTTGTGTCATTTAGAAAGAGAGTCGTGCTCTATCCCTGTTAACTTCCCCTGCTGCTGGTATTAAAACAGTCGATCCCCTACCTTTACGGGAAGATTCTGAAACCAGTATCCCCAAATTTGCTGAGGCAGCTCTTCCAGTTTCAAACATCCCAGAATACCCAACAAACACCCCTGGACAGTCGCATTCTCCGCCCTACGCTTCATCTTACTGGCACCCCTCCCGTCGAATTCAGGGTTCTCTGAGAGATCCAGAATTTCAGCATAATGGTAATTATTTGGGTTTTAATTTTTTATCTTTTAAAATTGCATTAGTAGAGACAAAGGCTGTAAGTATATACTTTACACTAATAAGTTATGTTTTTAATTTTTTAAGTTAATGTAATTGATTTCTTCAAATAGGAAAAAAGAATTCAGTCTTTGGAATACTTGATGGTCGTGCACCTAAGCTTGCTTTCACTTTGTGTCAGTGAGTGGTGTCTCGAGTTCTTACCCATACACACATAGGCAGCCCACTTGATGTGCTAGCCCCTCTTCGCAGGTGTGACAACCACAATGTCCCCAGATATTCCAAGTGCTGCCTGTGAATAAAATTCCAGAGCAGAAATGATTTTTCTCTTACTTTTATTAGGCATTGCTCTGTTCATTTCTAGCTTCTAGAACTGTTGAGAAGTCTGGTGCTGTTTTGTTCTGGACTTTTCATCCAAGAAGACATCAGAATGTTAGTGGAAAAGTGAAATTAAAGTATGAATTTATGTTGGGGCAGATTAATTGAAATCCATGCACCATTTTTTCATAATATTCATTTGCTGTGAACTTTTTGAATCTCCCTCGTATGTGGTGTTTTTCTTTTTTTTCTTCATTTTTTGGTGGCTTTTAGAATCTTCTCTTACACCTGTGCTCTGAAATTTTCAATAATGTGTCTTGGTTTGGGTCTTTTTTCATTCTTTGCTATTATCCTGTAGATCTTTTGAACCTGGAAAATTCTTAATTCTGGGAAATTTTCTTGAATTATTTAGTCAGTAATTTCTTACCTCCTATTTTCTGTTTCTTTTTCATGGTGCATCTTTTATTCAGATATTGCATATTATTTTATTTTATTATCTTACCTCTCATTTCTCTGTATTTTTTAAAAAAATAATTTGTAGGAGTTGCTAGTTTTTAGCTTCTACCTCTTCTTTTGGATTTAAAAAAATTGCTATATTTTCAGTTTCCAATAATTTTTTTTATTTAAAGAATTATTTTAACTTTCTCTCTTTCTTTCTCTCTTTCTTTCTCTTTCTCTTTTTTTTCTCTCTCTCACTTTCTTTTTTTCTCTCTCTCTTTCTTTCTTTCATCTGCCCAAGATTTTCTTTTTTAATACTGCATATTCTTTTTATACACCATTCCATTCTTATTTTATGGCTGTAACGTATTATCTCTTTAAAGGATGTATATGATGCCTCATTTTGAATAGAGTCTCCTGCTCTGAGTTGAATATAGTATTACTCACTCAGCGTAGCTCTGATAAGCCTTTAAGGATGAAATCTCCATTCCTCTTATGGGAGAGAGGCAATTAATCAACAATGTACATTTTTTCATTTTAGTTTGCTGTAGGGTGTGTATGCTCACTTGAAAGACAGAGGCAGGATGACCACAGCACAATCTCGTTTCCTCCAGCAGGACTTTTTAAGATGCATTTACATGTGCCCAGAGTGTTTTTCAAGCAGCAGCTCTAGGACTTGAATTATGTAGTCATGTGGGATCCAGTCACCTTAACCACCATACTACCTGGCTGGCCCACCAACTAAATTTAAAAGAGGATCTGACTTTCTATTTTGTAAAAATATATTTTACCCATTTCCTGTTACATTCTTAACTTCACTCCAGCTTCCAGTGGTCTTCACTACTCCCCTGGGCTATTAGGGGAACAGATAGGTTACTTCTTGGTTTTACTCCTTTCACGACTTAAGAATTCAGCTTGCTTGGTGTAGCTACTTACTCACTGCCCTTCCATTTGCTTTCCACTTTCTAGCATTTGTTGCTGTTTTCTTGTCTCCCATTTTCTTTGTCCTATAAGTTCATGTAATTTTTGTAAGTATTCAATGTATCATCTCTAAACAGAAGCCTACTGTGTTTCTTTAAAGTAAGAATAGGTTGATATTATCATTTGAAAGAATTACAGGAGGTTATCCATGGTTTGCATACTTGCTTAAGTACATTATAAATTAGACTAATGGCCTTTTGATAGTGATTTTTGTGAAGATATAAAATTAGTAAAATTTCTACAGCCTACTTTCACTAAGGTTCAGTATAATTAAAATATGCTGCTTGATGGCTTCGAAGGATAATCTTTTCTGTCTTTTCTTTTAAGTGGGAAAAACAAGGATGAACAATTTCCAATTACCTCAGCATGAAGCCTTTAACGATGAAGGTATTTCAAAGTAGTCACGTAACATGAAAGTATGAGATTCTATTATTTGATAGTTTATAATGGTATAATGATCTTACATTTAATTAGCACTTTATAATTTACAAATAGCTTCCACAGATATTTTTTCATTAGATGCTTTGAGAGGGCTGAAATTATCCCCAGTTTATAAATGAGTGCACTGGGACCTACTGCAGTGGAGACTCTTCTGTAGGACAAACGGATGAGAGACTATGCCCGGCTTCACAGCTGAAGCCAGTACTCCATTTTCCACCCTGTATAGCTCAGGGCTCAGAAACCTGGCCTAGTATGGTATCCCATACTTTTTTCAAATGCCTGAATATTCTTATCACTTTTTATGTCTCAAAAAAAATATAGCTAGGGAAAACAAACCTTTTTTCTGATGTAGTTCTCTTTCTGACAAAATGTTTGCTTCTAATAGTGGCAGGAGAAATTTATAATTCTGGATATGAGCAATTAATGTTACTATTTTAATCCATCCTTAAAAGTAAGGAATTACTGAATATGTAAGTTTTGAATAGGAAAATAAATTTAAATTTAGTATGTTATACATTACAAGTTCATAGACAGTAAAGATTTTCTATTCTGTTAGCACGTTTGGGACTTTTCTCAGAATTCACTAAATGAGAAAGCAAGGTGTTATGCAAACATCTGGCAATTTTGAATCCAGTTCTACTTTCTTTTTAATGGAAGAACAATATAAATAATCTTATAACAGATTTGCTTACTTAGAATGAAGGATTTCAGTAATAACAAAGGATAGTATATTAAAGTCAAACATTATTTCTATATTTTGTAAGATTACTTTAGAAATGTGATATAAATACTATGTTAAGGCGTGCCCTTTGTTTTTAAAGAGTTTAGAGAAGCTTTTATGTAGAATACCTGTGTTTTTATAGAAGGGCCAGATAGGATTATGAGCTATTTCCAGTTAATACTGAAATTATGAGATGTGTGTTTAAATTATGGGATTTCAGGAAAGAAAAAAATGTTCATTTGACATTAAAATGTTTGGCTTCTACTTATGTCTGATAAGAACTGGAAAATTACTGAGCTATCATGAAAATGTTAATATTTTACATTTTAATAGATTACCTTTTCTGATTGATCTAACATTAATATTATGAAGCTTGGGGACCAGCAGATGGTGTAATGGTTACGTTGCTGGACTCCCACATTGTCAACCACAGTTCAACTCCCAGGCCTAGTGGCTTGAAACTCTTACTGGGCATGTGTGTGTACATGGAGGAGAAGGGATTATGGCATGGCCATCCCCCACGGGGGATGATTTCTTGCTTTTGTCTCTCTGGCAAGCACACTCACCCTCTAGCAAAAATCTCTCTCTAAAAAAAAAAAAAAATGAAACTTGATGGTTTTAATATTCTGTTAATGTTATATAAAACACATTTTTAATAGATATTTTTATACCGAATATATCTTGGGATTCTTTCATTACAGATGAAGACAGATTGTCTGAGATTTCTGCTCGCTCTGCAGCTTCTAGTCTCCGAGCTTTTCAAACTCTGGCACGAGCTCAGAAAAGGAAGGAGAATTTCTGGGGCAAAACATAAATCTAGTTGAGTTGCTTTTATCTGGGGACTCATTGGCATAATTTCCCCTCATTGTTTACTTTGTTAAGGCTTTCTGACTGTTCACATTTTTTTCTGATGTTTATTACTTTGAAAAATTGCTTTTTTCAGTAGTCAGTCCAGTTTACTTGGAAATTTTTTAACATATGTTTATTCAAATTTAAGTTTTGAAGAATTAGTTTTACATCTATCCCAAAGTACAAAAATGTAGATTATATAGTTCTTCACATGTTCTAACTTTCATATTGGTGTCAGGGAAGCTGGTAGAATTATGAATTTTACTCACCTAGAGACTATTACACGAAGTTCAAGTGAAGAATTAAAGAGCCAGATGTGGAGTATGTATTCCCCTCAGATTGGCTACATGTATCTTTCTAATTGTAAATGTCATACAATGAATTTATTATTCCTTTAACTTTTGCCGAAGTGTTTCTTTTTATTTTAGTACCTTCTGTATGTGGTTGCAGTGTTAAGATAAATGTAATTTGGAAATTACCAGCTGTATATATTTTTCTTATTTATGTAACGAAATTTGCTGAGGGAGGATATGTATATTTTTTGACCTTTGTGTGTATTCTATTTGTATAATGACCTTGGCTTACATTTGAATAATGTCTGGATTTTGAAAAATTATTTGTATAATGGCAAATTAAAAATTTGTAGACATTTTGAAATAAAAGATTGATCATGTGTGTTTGGCTTCTTCAGAAAGTTTATTACACAGTCATGTTGGGCATGTGGACTTTCATGCCCCAAATTCCTATAGGGTGGCCTATGTTGCTTAGAAAACAAGTGACTAATCTGTTCAAAAGTGCTTAGTTTGGTCAGAAGCGCTTTTGTAAACCATTAGCTCACAGTACTTTAGTTTGTTAAAGATCTTATGTTATTGTGAGGTTGTGAAGAACTGTAGGCACACATTTCCCTGCCTTCCAGTGACCTTTTCAAGCTGTTCATTAAGAAAACTACTGAGGAGCCAATCAGTGTGATGGTGGGTAAGGTGACCTGATCCCACGTGGATGGCTGTGCGTTTGAATCCTGGACCCAGTAGCTTGAAAAAAAAAAAAAAAAAAAAAGCTGGGCTTGTGTGTGTGTGTGTGTGTGCCCAAAATCCCAAAAGAAATAAAGGAAGGATTGTGGTGTGACCTTCCCCTTTGGAGGGGATACTTTCTTACTTTTTCTCTCTGTCTCTGGTGAGTGCATGTGCTTTCTAGGATAAAAAATAAATAACTAAGGGGCCCAGCCATGTGGAGCAAGTTGTAGGGCATTGCTGTGTGAGGCCAGAGCCACACGAGAGGCCTAAGTTCAAATCCTAGGTCAATCTGAGTAGGTCAGATGTAGTATATGTCTGTAATCCTAGCTAAGTGGTAAGCTGGGGCAGAGGATCATAATGATGAGTCTGTCAGGGGCACCTTTGTCTCCTCCCCTGCCACACACATTCTCTCTCATTAAAAAAAAGTTATTAAGGCACTAAACATGGAATAAAAATGTGCAATTAGTGTATGACTGGGTTTTAGAATAAGTTGGCTTCTATATAAATGTTCTGAGATGTATTAGTTGTGAAATAAGTTTGGAACTTACTGTCCCTCTAGAAACTTTGAGTTGTCACGTTCTTTGAAAGTTGGTTCATTTAGCTGGTTATGATAGTTTTCAATGGTTGGTCACTGTTCTATGGTGAAAAATCAGCTAGTTTGCAGGAATCGTGGATAATTTATAGTCTATCTTCCCTAAACTACAGACTAAAAATCTTGTACATACAGGGAAATGAATCAAACTGTATGAATTTATTAGTTGTTAGATGGATTAGGGTATGGCTCTCTTGGGCCCAAGGTCCTGACCCCAGTGTCTGTGTGATAATTTAACCCTCCTCAGTGACCAGAGGAGTGAATGGTGTGAGGGATCAGTACTTTCCATCATTTCTCTAAGAGCAACACAGGCATGCATTTGTTTTTATTAAAGTTTATTTCTTGAGAGAGAAGAGAGGGAGGCATTCCAAAGGGATCTTCATGGCATTTTCTGTCTCCAGCCTCAGCAAGCCCCGATGATGGGCACATGTATATGAACCTGGCATGTGCAGGGAAGCCTTGGGAGAAAACCTGGGATCTTACCTGTGTGGCTGGTATGCTGTGCCACCATCTGGTTCCAGAGAGGGTATGCATTCCAGTTGGTGGGTAAGTACTCTTAGCTACATGAGAACTGCCCCTGGAGATTTGCTAGTGTTTAGGAGCTGGGGTTTCTTTTGTCTTTTTTTAAAAAAATTATTCAATTTTATTTATTCATTTTATTTTAATTTGACTAGAGAGGGACAGATACACACACACACACAGAAAGGAAGCAAGCCGCCAGGTCTGGGACTCAACCATGGTTGGCCATGTGGGAGTCCAGTGCCTTTAATCACCAAGCCACCTGCCAGCCCCCAGGAGCTGGTATTTCTAATTCAATGTTTAAAAATTACTTTTATTAAGGTGTTCTTTTATGTGAATAAACTGCAACCCTTAAAAAAATGACAACTCTGCCAATTTGCACAGATGTATATATCTGTGAAATCAACACCACAATCTACATCTCCATCACTCCAAAAGTTTCCTCATTTTCCTTTGCAGTCAAACTGTCCTTGCACCCCTGGTCCCCAAGGTAACCACTAACCTGCTGTTGGCACAAGTGGGTTTGCAAGAATTTTATCTAAATGGAAGCGTTTTGTGTCTGGCTTTCAGTCAGCATAAAAACCTTGTTTTGCTGAGCATGTTCTATTTTATTCACCCTCTGGACTTGCCAGTTGTTTCCAGTTTAGGGCTCTAGTGAATAAAGCTTACAGTATTTGCATGCAAGTCTTTGTGTAGACAGACACACATTTTCATTTCTCTTTGGAAAATATCTAGATAACTCAGTTTTTATTCATCTTCGTTATAACTTTGACTCTACATATATGCCAAAACCAATATGATAAACTGTGGTTGGTCTTTTTGTCTCAGTTGGTATTTCACAAATCAGTCTTGTGAGTGAAGAACAGAATCTTAATGGATATTTTCCCCAGAATGCACACACTTAAGCTTTCTGCTTTCCCTCTCCCTCATCTTCACCCCATGCAGAAATTCCCAGTGTGTCCCTGGTTGAAAACACAAATAAAAATGCACATATGCACGTATACAGGAGGTTTCTATTGTGTGTGTGAATTTTCTCACATATATGGATTCTTTATGGGATCCTGAACACCAAGAAAAGAACCTTTGAAAGATAATTTTGAGGATTAAGGATAAAAAACTTGAGAAATACACTTAGTCCATGTAAGAAATGATACCATATGATTTAAGCATAAATATCCTCATTTTATAGATGGGATAAAAGAGATGTGTGTAAGATCTCACAGACGGTGAATTAAATTTAGGTCTTCTTACTCAAAATCTACCTATGCTATCTCCTTTGAAGTTCATGCTAAATTTGTAGGTCCTGCTGTGATTCAATTTTTAATCTTGTTGATTCATTTGGGAGTTAATCTTTTCATTTTGCCTTCTTGGAAAAGAAATGTCTACTTTTCTAATGGGAGGGGGAAGTATGTGGGCATTGGGATTATTGAGCAAATGGGTTGAATCAGAATGAAAGTAAGTTAGCGTTGAAATGAAGTTTGTCCTTACATAGCACAGTGTTGAGGTTGGCTACCCAGGCTCAGCGGTGGATTGTGTACCTTTGCTGTAGATGTATGTGCACATACTAGATGTCCAAAAAATATTTATCCTGATTTCTAGACGTTAGCCAAATGAACAAATAATCCAAAATTGTAAATAATCCTAGAATCATTTAGATTTGGTTTTGAAATATGTTTTTTGTACTTTCACATGTGATGGTAGTAGTCATCTTAGCATGTTCAGGGTCCAGTCTCTGTCAAACCACCGTCATGGCTCAGTTTCCCTAAGTGATTCTACTGCACAAAGACCTCTCCAGGCAAATGACCAGTGCCCATTAGTAGATAGTTCAGGATATGTCAAACTGGCTTTGGTTACGTCATTGCTCTGAGAAACCAGCTTGCATCTCCAGTCAGACTAGTGGATTAAAAGTGACCAGTGGCCTTGTTAGCTCTGTGTTGGTGAACTTTCATGCTAATGTTGACCCTGCACTCCATTTTAACCATATGTCTTTCTTCTATGGTGAGTGGAAGCACAGAAAAACTCAGCCCTTTGCTGTCAGGATCAAAGGGGTCACTTGCCTATCCCATTCCCCCTGCAGATAAGAGAAATAAAGAACAGTCATCTTAAAGATGGCGTTCATTTCTTTACGTGTTCCCTCCACTAGTCTCTTTCATTGTGCCCTAGACCCGTACAGAGTATCTCCTTAGGAACTGAGTGAATGATTGAGTCTATAGGGGACCCTGCTTTTGGGAGTCAGAGCACGAGACCAACCAGTAGAGCAGTGTGTCACTCTGGTGGCATGCCCCTTGTACGTGGGTTTGGCATTGTCTGCGTTGGACTAGAATGAAACGTGTCAGGCTATCACTGCTCACACAGTTTTTTAATAAGAAACCTTTATCAATGGCGCATATTTGGATTCTCTGTTTTTAAAACCTTCTGAACCATGATATGGAACCGGCAGAGCAGGCTGTGGCTATTGATTTCAGCATGACCGTCAACATTGCTATTCAAGAAATTAAAATGTACGTCCATTCCAAGTTGTAAATACTAATCTTTTTTACCTCAATAAAAAGACCGTGGGACCGGTAGTTAGTGTAATGGCTATGTCACTGTACTACCATGGTTCGAGTCCCAGACCTGGTGGCTTGAACTCATGCCGGGCGCATGTGCATGCGTGCCCAAGATCCCAAGAGGAGAATGGAGGAGAAGGGATTGCTGCGTGGACATCCCTCCCGGGGGGTGATTTCTCGCTTTCTGTCTCTCTGTCTTTCTGGCAAGCACGCGTGCGCGCGCCCTATAGCACAAACCTCTCCAAAAGAAAAAAAGAAGAATAAAAAGACCATTAACTTAAAAAAAAAAAAGAATCCCCATGGATTCAAACCACATAATAGACAATTTAGATAATACTGAAACATCGTTGCATTTCTTCCTTATGCAGTCTATCCCATTATAATACGCTGGAGCTGGTTCATGGATCAATTATCACATGTACAGGAATGTTGTGAGCAGGTTGTTAAATAATCAAAAGTTTGGCATTGGTGAGTGTATTTACATCACTGAAGTCAGCAAACAGTGTAAGTCAGGGCTTTTCACCTTTACTCCACAGGTGGTTTGCAGGCCACTGCTGCAGCCTCTAGATGAAGCTCTTTCCTTTGCTTTCCGCATTGTCTCCCTGATGGAGAAGGTGATCTCCAGAAAGGAGACGAGAGGTAGCTCAGGATGAGCTGCTCGAGATTTATGATGCCATTCACATCTTCCTGGACTTAAAAAAAGAAAGTAGTTGGGTTTAGTTTCCGTTTTTTGGCTGGGTGTATCTAGAAAATAAAACCAAGTCAGAAATAGCAGATAATAGAGTTGCAGAGGGAGACTACCCATGACACATCTGTAAAATTACCCAGAGATGCTATTATGTATGCATAATCTTCCAGGGAATTCTGGTATTTAGGTGGTTCAAGAACCTCTGGATTGGTGTTACAGTTACCTGTGGTCTAATGCCGAGCCCATGATGAGCAAGCACTTAAATTTTGAGCTTGTGTAGCTGAAGAGAATA